ATACAGCCTCCACCTGCCCAACCTGGAAGAGAAGGAATCCCAAAAGCCAGCCCTGCTCCTTTACCCTGCTGCTCTCTCCCTCTCATACACATCCCAAACCTAGCCTGCAGATGTAAGAACCCCAACATTCGGCAGGGGCTCCTTCCTCCAGAACTACATTTCCCAGCAGGCCTGGGGCCGAGTGCGGCCCGCTTGTAAGCTATGGCCAGCAGGGGCGGGCCTGCAGGTGGAAAGCGGAGCCAGAAGGCACCGGGCTGAGCATGAGTCTGAGATGCCAGGGCTGGGAGGGCATAGAGCAGTGGGAGGACGAGGCTAAGGGGCGGAGCCTCAGTTATGCGTGTAGTATGGGAGGACGGGTCTGGCGCCAAGGGCGGGGCTGGACTGAGGGCCGGAGGCGAGGCTGGGCGGATGGGCGTGGCCAAGTAGCCTGAGGGCGGGGCCCAAGGAGGGGCTCAGCTGCGCCCAGCCAGGCAGCGCCCCGTGCCGCGCCGTGGCCGCTCAACTCCGGCTCAAGCGGAGGGGATCTGCTGGAGGCTCCTTCACCCCGACTTCTGCCGGGCAGTCACTGCCGTGAGTGAGCCCAACGGGAGGACCTGGGGGTGGGGGGCTGCTGAGGGAGCAAGATTCCTGAACTTTCGCTCCCACCGATGAGTGGGTGGAGCCAGCCTGGACACCTGGGCCCTTCCTCCCGGCCGCGGTTCCCAGCGGGAGACGGGTACTTTGACCTCAGTCTGCCCCTTCGGACGGTGTAGCTCGGGCGGTGCTACGGGTGGGTGGGGAGTATTCCAGGTTATGTAGGCGCAGTCACTCGATCCCCGCAGATCCAGTTGCCAGGCAGGGGAGGGAGATGAGCCGGATCGAGTTGCCTTTGACATTTCCATCCCCCTGGGAACTGTGTCCAACTAAGGACTACTGCTTGGAACGGCCTCCCCTCAGTTGAGCTGGGCGGGGCCCTCCCCCTCAGACCAGACTAGGGGTTGGCAGCCGAGACTGAGGTTGAGTGCGGAGTGGGGAAAGGCTCCACAGAGGCAGAGCCCAAGGAGGCACGCCCCGCAGACCCCACCTGCTGTCCTTAGCCTGTGGTTGGCCAGATGGCGGAGGCGGCAGATTACAGGGGTCTCTAGAGCCACTGCTAACACTGGAACCACAGTTCCTCCCCCACAACCCTGGTACCAGATGCCATTAAAATTGTCCCCTTTCCCACCCCTAAGAGGCCTTCCTGGTCTGCCTGGAGCAAGCCGCAGTACCAGCCATTGTAAAGACGGGCCTCGCCACACCCACGTCCATCGGATGGAAGCCTCTCAGCCACACAGTTCTTTCTGATGCATTCAGGCAGCCAGGTCAGACCGTTATCTCCCATCTCCCAAAACTCATGCTGTGGAGGATTGAGCTAGGATTTTAGATCCAGGCAACCTTGCTGCCTGGCTGACTTCAGACAAGTCCCTTTTTCTGTTTGGGCCACTGTTTTCTCATCTGTCAAATGGGCACTGTTGCTATGTTTGCTGCTCCACATTGTTCGAGTTGCATGCTGTGGTGGCATTTGGGAGACCATAATGGTGCCTGAATGGAGTTGGTGCCCAGGCCTGTGGGCTCCTGTCCTTCGTCAAAGAACCTCAAAATCCTAAAAAGTTAAGATTTTCAGAAAGTAAGTGTTAGAAAGGGCTTTTTTAAATCCACCTTGATTTTTTCGTGCCTCCTATCATAAGATTGGCTGACATAATGGAAGTTTTGAGGATGAGGGGGTCTCTGTTCTATTGAGATATGGACCCTCTCCCCTTATTCACTTGGTGCCCAGAATGGGGCTTTGGATGTCTTGAATGAGTGAATATAAATGTACATCAAGTTTGGCCTGAGCCACCAAAGGTCTTCTTTGGGTTCTGCTCAGCTTGAGGGCATCAGCTAAAGCCACCGCCTGCATTTTCCAGAATAGTTTTTCTAACTTGTACCTACAGGAAGGGGGAGGAAAGCTAAGTTGTTGTGGGCTGAGAGGAAGGAATAAGAGGCTGTTCCATAACACCTGGGACTGACAAGCTTAGGCAGGTGGGGGAGGGATCCCTGAGAATGAGGCCCTGAGCTGCCACCTTAAGGGAGCAGCTATGGGTGGCAGTGCTATGTGTTGATATCTAGGATCAAACTTATGATTTGCGCCTGGCATTCTTCATAGTCTCTGCATGGGGCATGTGAAGAACCTAAGTAGTTCCAGCATCTCCTTGGAAGTCACTGGGGACTTAGAGACAGACACTCGCATCTGGGAGCAAACTAATTACTGTTTGCCAGTCTCTCTCTCTTCTCTCCCCAGCTGAAGCAGTTGGGCAGCTGGCTGGCTGGCAGTGTATATGCCTGTGTGTGCACCTGGCTCATGCTATTTCTTTATTGGACTCTGCCCTGAAGGGTGGGACAAGAAGGGTCAGTGGCCTTGAGCAGCAGATTGCAACACGAGTCTATGTTTCCCTGCAGTCATATCTGGATGTTTAGCATACAGTGTGTGAGTTTGTGTGTGTAGTGGTGAGTGTCTGATCCCTGAGGAGCTGGTAGGGAGAGAAGGGGTGCTGGCCCAAGCTGGGTGGGTAAAATCTCCTGAAGCAAGTGGCCTGAAGGATTTAGATTGGGGAAGAAATGAGCTTGCTAGCCATAGGATAGGCCTGGCTGGAAATGGAATCAGAATGGTAGCTGAGACCACATCATGCCTCAAGCCTCAACTGCAAAGCTTATGCTTCTGAATTTCATCATGAGAGTCATGAGCAGCTCTCAAAGCTAGGGATAGACATGGTTTGATAAGTGCTTTAGAAAGATCACTATGGTTGCTGTGAGTAGAAGGCACTGGAGGGAAAGAAGTTGGGGGCAAAGAGGCCTATTGGGGGAAGTGTTGCAATAATGCAGGAGAGATGTGATAGTGCCCAAACTAGGGCAAGGGTAGCAGGACAGTGGGTCAGTGGTAGAGACAGAGCTAGAAGGTAGCTGGCCCACAGATGTGGTGCTAGGAGCAGAGCAGGGCAGTGAACTTGGTAATGGATGGCGGAGAGCAGGGTGGAGTCTGAGGGCAAAGAGAAGCAGATCTGAGAAGTGACACCAGTCCCCATGTTAGGCTCCTGATTCCAGCTCTAATGTCTGAACCCAACTTTTCTCCCTTCAAACCAGGCCCTGGGACAGAGTCTGGCTTTGGGTGTCTTCTTTCATGTCCAGATTTCATCTGGCTTCTGACTCAAGATAAGATGGCATGCCTGAGACATTCCCTCTTCCTCCCTCTTCTCTCTCTGGGGACAGGGAAGCTTACCTACTGCCCTGTTAAAAGTCTCAAGGGGCTGAATGGACCATCCCCACCTCTATCACTGTGGCCATCCATACCTCTAAGAGACCAGGCCCTCTCTAGTTTCCTCCCCTTCTCTTCAGCCTGAAGTGCCCCCATGTGTGATCCAGGGAGGCCTGACTTAATCTGTGATCCTGGACAGCTTCCTGACCCTCTCTGGGTTTGTTTCTCCACCAGAAAAATGAGGATGCACACCATCTCCCATTCACACGCCCCTCTCCATTCATAGAGTCCTAATTTGTCAAGCATTGGTGCCCAAGAGGAAGGGTGGGTAAGACACAGACAGACTGTCCTCGTAAGAGTCTCATCTTGCCACTCATCAAGTCCTTGGGTTCCAGTATACACCTTCCCAAAGTATGCACCTCCTCTATCTTGCTGAAGCAAAAGGAAATACCATGGAATGAGAAAACTTAGTTCCATCTCTCTCTCCCCCTTTTAGACTTGGGCAGGCCAGGCTCAGATGAGCTTGGTCAGGTGGCCCCACTGCCCGCTCCTTTCTTAGCTGGGGACTAATGCCCCAGAACCCTCAGGAGAAGAGCCAGGCCAGCCCCCGCCGCCGCCGCCGCTGCCCTGGTTGCCAGGCAGACCAAAAGAGCACCGAGGACATCGCAGTCACAGCTATGTACACGTTCCTGCCCGACAACTTCTCGCCCACTAAGCCCAAGCAGTCCAAAGAGCTGAAACCACTGCTGTGCTCCGCGGTGCTGGGGCTGCTGCTGGTGCTGGCAGCGGTGGTGGCCTGGTGCTACTACAGCGCCTCCCTACGCAAGGCGGAACGCCTTCGCACGGAGCTGCTGGACCTCAACCGCGGCGGCTTCTCCATCCGCAACCAGAAGGGCGAGCAGGTCTTCCGCATGGCCTTCCGCTCCGGCGCGCTGGACCTCGACTCCTGCAGCCGAGAGGGCGCGCTGCTTGGCTGCTCGCGCACGGCCGACGGGCGCCCGCTGCACTTCTTCATCCAGACTGTGCGGCCGAAGGACACAGTCATGTGCTACCGCGTGCGCTGGGAGGAAGCGGCGCCGGGGCGGGCCGTGGAGCACACCATGTTCCTGGGCGACGCGGCAGCGCACTGGTATGGCGGTGCCGAGATGAGGACGCAACACTGGCCCATCCGCCTGGACGGCCAGCTGGAGCCACAGCCATTCGTCACCAGCGACGTCTACTCCTCCAACGCCGCCTTCGGGGGCATCCTCGAGCGCTACTGGCTGTCTTCGCGCGCGGCCGCCATCAAAGTCAACGACTCAGTGCCCTTCCACCTGGGCTGGAACAGCACGGAGCGCTCGCTGCGGCTGCAGGCGCGCTACCACAGCACGCCCTACAAGCCGCCCGCCGGCCTCACAGCGGCGCCGGAGCTGAGCTACCGTGTGTGCGTGGGCTCGGACGTCACCTCCATCCACAAGTACATGGTTCGGCGCTACTTCAACAAGCCGTCTAGGGTGCCAGCGCCGGAGGCCTTCCGAGACCCCATTTGGTCCACGTGGGCGCTGTACGGGCGCGCTGTGGACCAAGACAAGGTGCTGCGTTTTGCCCAACAGATCCGCCAGCACCGGTTCAACAGCAGCCACCTGGAAATCGACGACATGTACACGCCCGCCTATGGCGACTTCGACTTCGACAAGGTCAAGTTCCCCAACGCCAGTGACATGTTCCGCCGCCTGCGCGACGCCGGCTTCCGCGTCACACTCTGGGTGCACCCCTTCGTGAACTACAACTCGTCACGCTTCGGCGAGGGCGTGGAGCGCGAGCTGTTCGTGCGTGAGCCCACCGGCCGGCTGCCCGCGCTGGTGCGCTGGTGGAACGGCATCGGCGCGGTGCTCGACTTCACGCGCCCGGAGGCCCGCGACTGGTTCCAGGGACACTTGCGGCGGCTGCGCTCGCGCTACGCTGTGGCTTCCTTCAAGTTCGACGCGGGTGAGGTTAGCTACCTGCCGCGGGACTTCAGCACCTACAGGCCGCTGCCCGACCCCAACGTGTGGAGCCGGCGCTACACTGAGATGGCGCTGCCCTTCTTCTCGCTGGCCGAGGTCCGTGTGGGCTACCAGTCACAGAACATCTCGTGCTTCTTCCGCCTGGTGGACCGCGACTCGGTGTGGGGCTACGACCTGGGGCTGCGCTCGCTCATCCCTGCGGTGCTCACCGTCAGTATGCTGGGCTACCCGTTCATCCTACCCGATATGGTGGGCGGCAACGCGGTGCCCGAGCGCACCGCGGGCGGCAGCGATGTGCCCGAGCGCGAGCTCTACATTCGCTGGCTGGAGGTGGCCGCCTTCATGCCAGCCATGCAGTTCTCTGTCCCGCCCTGGCGATACGACGCGGAAGTGGTGTCTATTGCCCACAAGTTCGCCGCGCTGCGGGCCTCGCTTGTGGCGCCGCTATTGCTTGAGCTGGCCGGTGAGGTCACTGACACGGGCGACCCCATCGTGCGCCCCCTTTGGTGGATCGCGCCCGGCGACGAGACAGCTCACCGCATCGACTCGCAGTTCCTTATTGGGGACACGCTGCTGGTAGCGCCGGTGCTGGAGCCGGGCAAGCAGGAGCGCGACGTCTACCTGCCCGCCGGCAAGTGGCGCAGCTACAAGGGCGAGCTTTTCGACAAGACGCCCGTGCTGCTCACCGATTACCCAGTCGACCTGGACGAGGTCGCCTACTTTGTCTGGGCGTCCTGACCCTGCCCAGTACCTGGGAACCGCATAGCCCTAACCCCAGCCTTTATGCAGACCTTTCATGTTCCATCGCACCTGCATCGTGTACCCCCAGGAAGTCCACACCTCTGTACCACCCATTAAGTAGGTGCTGACTTAAATGTGCTGGAGCCAGCTGCTGTGGGTGGGGTGTGGGGAGGGGGCTCCAACACACAGTCCTAACTGTCCCCTTTCCCCTCCACACTCACCGCAGTCTGGAGAAACTTCTTCCCTGGGATGGAGGCCAGAGAGCTCAGAAGAAAAGGGTCAGCTCTCTTCCTATTGTTATACATGGTTGGGTTTTAAAAGCACAAAGTGGGCCGGGCATGGTGGCTCACGCCTGTAATCCTAGCTCTCTGGGAGGCCGAGGCGGGCGGATTGTTTGAGCTCAGGAGTTCGAGACCAGCCTGAGCAAGAGTGAGACCCCGTCTCTACTAAAAATAGAAAGAAATTAATTGGACAACTAAAAATACATAGAAAAAAATTAGCTGGGCATGGTGGCGCATGCCTGTAGTCCCAGCTACTCGGGAGGCTGAGGCAGGAGGATCGCTTGAGCCCAGGAGTTTGAGGTTGCTGTGAGCTAGGATGACGCCACGGCACTCTAGCCCGGGCAACACAGTGAGACTCTGTCTCAAAATAAATAAATAAATAAAAGCACAAAGTGAAACCTCTGCCTCTATCTTGGCCTTTGTGGCCATCTTTGTCCTTCTGAGGTGGGGACTTGATCTCCCAAAATAGCCCCCACCACACTTAGAAAGTGTACATTCTTGGTGTTGGAAATCAGGCCCTGAGTTCCCAACACTGGCTTGAACGGTGGCTGATTTGGTCCCACTCCAGCTAAGGAGAAGGGATAGAGGTGTTTGGCCAACTGAGAAGGAGGCAAAAGGTCCCCTCCCAGGGAACAGGAGGACTTGGCTCAGCACAGAGCCATCATTAGTGTCCCCTATTTGTGAAGAAACTCCAAACACTACACTAACCCATCTGTGTACATACATGGGCTCAGCCCTGGTCCAGATGTGCCTGTTGGGTACAGACTTGCAGGGCCATACAGGCCAGACTTGGTGCCTTTGCTCAAAAACCCTTGTGTGTGTGTGTGTGTGTGTGTGTGTGTGTGTGTGTGTGAGAGAGAGAGAGAGAGAGAGAGAGAGAGAGACATACACCCTGGGTCCCTGACCTACAGAATGAACACAATATCCCTGAGGCTGGATAAACCTGGAGGGAGGGGGCATGAAGAAAATTTGAGGCTCTGATTGTTGAGCCAGCCTCCTTCCAGGTGGTTTCCCTGGGACTCTGCTAGGAAATAAATAGCCCTTTCAGGATTCCTCAATTACCTTACTCCCTGCACATGTGGCAGGGTGTGGCCTAGAAGGGAGCGATGTTCTTATTCTGGTGCTGTGTGCTTCTGAACACAAGCTACTCGCACACACCAACTCCTTCCAATACACACACAGGGTAAGGTCTTTCATCTCAGCCATTTTCACTTTCTAAGAAGAGCAACCTCAGCCAGAGTGAGTTTTTCCTGACTGCAGTTGAGTCTGGAGAAGAGTGGCTTGTCAGAGGCGGGAGGTGGGAAACAGGGTAGAGCTCAGCTTCCCTCAACAGCTCTGCCAGCAGAACCAGTGCCCCACCCCCTAGAGAATGTATCCCTTTGCCTACCCCCTACCCCCTTTATTTTCTCAGTATGGAAAATGCCTGATGAAAGCCTTGGGTCCCTCACAGTTGCGCATCTCGAATGTCGATTCTATCACTTGTCTACCAGCTGTGTGACCTTGAACAAGCTGCTTAGCCTAGATGAGCCTTGGTTTCCTCCTATGTAAAGTGGTGATAATAATGCCTACCTCCCAGCTTGTTGTGAAAATTATAAACATAGATATATGTAAAGTGCCTGGCACAAAGTAGGTGCTCAATAAAAGGTAGCTATTATTATTTCTTGTTCTCTGGCTTAAAAATGAGTATTCTTCCAAACTCCAGTTCCCAGCCCAAATGGCTTCCTCTGAGCCCACCTGTGACACCCTTCCCGCAGCCCTCTGCACACAGTAACCAGTTGAGCTCTGACTTTGTGGCCCAAAAGACACTGTAGTCCAGGAGAAAAGCAAAAGGAGAGATACCTGAAGGTAGGATGTCAGGAGGCAGGAATTCTGGGTTTCCAGGAGATGGAGAGTGAATATAGTGAGTTTCTCTCCTTTTTGTCAAGAATGTCTACTGTCTACCAATTGATACTCACTGATGAGCATCCCCAGGCCCTGGCACCCAGCCATGTGTTGTGGAATAAGTGTAGAACACCCAGACTGGGCCCTGAAAAGTTCTCCAAATGGCTAGAGAGCATGACTCCCACTTGAATGGCCCACCAGCTTTCTATGCAACCTGAAACCACCTTATCTAACCTTAGTTTCTTCTTATTTATTTAGAGACAGTGTTCCCTCTGTTGCCCAGGCTGGAGTACAGTGACCCAATCATAGCTCACTATAACCTTGAACTCCTGGGTTCAATCAATCTTCCTGCCTCAGCCTCCTGAGTAGCTGAAACTACAGGTGTGTGCCACCATGCCCGGTTAATTTTTAAATTTATTTTAGAGATGGAGTTTCACTCTTGCTGAGGCTGGTCTCAAACTCCTGGCCTCAAGTGATCCTCCTGCCTCATCCTCCCGAAGTGCTGGGATTATAGGCATGAGCCACCGCACCCAGCGTCTTCATCTTTAAAATGGAATTTCTAGGCTGGTCCAAGTGCAGTGGTGTTTACAACTAATTGATCACAACCAGTTACAAATTCCTTTGTTCCTTCTCCACTCCCACTGCTTCACTTGACTAGACTTAAAATCATAATAATAATAAAGTAAAATAAATAAAATGGAATTTCTAAGCCCAGCATGGTGGCACATGCCTATAGTTCCAGCTACTCAGGAAGCTGAGGTGGGAGAATTACTCTGAGCCCAGGAGTTTGAGACCAGCCTGGGCAACATAGCAAGACCCTGTCTCAAAAAACGAAAAAAGGGGCTGGGCGCAGTGGCTCACACCTGTAATCCTAGCACTCTGGGAGGCCGAGGCAGGCGGATTGTTTGAGCTCAGGAGTTCAAGACCAGCCTGAGCAAGAGCGAGACCCCGTCTCTACTGAAATAGAAAAATTAGCTGGGCATGGTGGCGCATGCCTGTAGTCCCAGCTACTTGGGAGGCTGAGGCAGGAGGATCGCTTGAGCCCAGGAGTCTGAGGTTGCTGTGAGCTAGGCTGACGCCACGGCACTCTACTCAGGGCAGTAGAGTGGGACTCTGTCTCAAAAAAAAACAAAAAAAGGAATTTCTGAGTCATTGAGATGTGTCTGTAAAGCACTTATGCAAAAATTGGCAAAAAGTAAGTGCTCAGTGAATGGTAACTCCTATTAACTCTTATTATAAACATAAGGAACAAAGATAAAAAAACCTCTGGCTAGAATTTGTGCTGTCCAATATGGTAGCCACGAGCCACATGTGACTTCTTAAATTTTAAAATTAATTAAAATTAAAATTGCCTATAGTCCCAGCTACTTGGAAGGCTGAGGTAGGGGATCACTTGAGTCCAGGAGTTAGAGACCAACCTGGACAACATAGTGAGACCCTGTCTCAAAAAAAGAAAAAATTAAACTAAAAATTCTGGCTGGATGCAGTGGCTCACGCCTATAATCCTAGAACTCTGGGAGGCCAGGGCAAGAGGATTGCTTGTGCTGAGGAGTTTCAGACCAGCCTGAGCAAGAGTGAGACCCCATCTCTACTAAAAATAGAAAAAAAATTATCTGGGCAACTAAAAATAGAAAAAATTATCTGGGTATGGTGGTGAACGCCTGTAGTCACAGTTATTTAGGAGGCTGAGGCAGCAGGATCACTTGAGCCCAGGAATTTGAGGTTGCAGTGAGCTAGGCTGACGCCACAGCACCCTAGACCAGGCAACAGAGCGAGACTCTCTCAAAAAAAAAAAAAAAATCAGTCTTTAGGCACACTAGCTAGCCACATTTGAAATGTTCAAAAGCCATATGTGACTAGTGACTAACATATTGAACAGTGCAGATTATAGAACATTTCCATAGTTGTGGAAAGTTCTATTGGACAGCCCTGGACCAAGCAGTGTGTGCTGTCTGAGATGGCATCAGGAGGAAAGAAATAATCTGTGAGCATGCCCTGAAGGAGGAGGAGTACCCTTCAGAAGGGGACTGAAGGCAGACAGGGGTGTCTTACAGCCTGGATGAGAAGGAAACACAGTACACACATCTTTTTTGGCCAAATTCCAGCAAACGGGCCCTTGGCTTGGGATCTGGTTTCTAGTCTGGCCTCTGCCACAGACACCATTAATCACAAAAGCACAGATGAACAAACTGAAGCCCCGATAGAAGAGGGCATTGGCCTGAGGTCACACAGAAAATTAGTAACCAAGCCTAGACTAGAACCTTGGTGTGCTATTTCCAGAGGCCTAGAATCTCAGACCCAGCATTCACCCACTCTTCAATGGCATGGCTCCGGCCCAGCCTGTATATCTCCAAGGATGGGAGCTAGCTGAAATGTGTCTCTGAATCTTCCACCCAACAGACCTCATTCTAGGCCCATTGTATCTTTCCTTCCCCCATTGACATTAAAAAAGAGGCGTTTGAGAAATTGGAAGGGGGCGCTGAAATGTCAGGACCTCAAAGGAAATACTGGGTCTTGGAGATAGGGAGAGGGAAGGTTACCTCTATCCCTATTCCCCAGGGTGCCAGAACCCCTGGCCTCTCCCAGCATTGTCCAGTCCCCTATCCTTACCAGCACTTCCTGTGCATTCCAAGTTTATCACTTTCTCTCTCTGCACATCTGGATCTGGAGGGCCTGACCCCCCTCTGTGGAGCTTTCAGCAGCCTTGTCATGACCAGAATTCCTCATTGGTCTCTCCTGTACCCCTGAACTGGTAGGAGGGGTGATACGCAGGAATGAGGAACTCCCTTCTCCAGGGGTAATGAGGAGGGACTGAGTGGCCACTGCAGGAAGCCTAGGACTGGGGCCTAGGCTCCCATTCTGTGACCCTGTGTGCCTAAGAGTCTGCCTCAGTTTCCCTTCCACTGAATAGAGGAAATGCTGAGCCCTAGCCAAGCCTTCTCTCTGAGCCCAAGATCTGGGTTTTCTGGGAGGGTTTTTGCCATTGTTCCCCAGATCTGAGTTAGCTGTTTCTGACCCTGGATCTGGCTCCAGAGGAAGCCTTCTTCTGCTGGTTTCCCTCACCAGGCACTCTGGTCCCTTCTCCCCTCCCTGAGTCCAAAACCAATGTTGACCTTTCCATCCCTTGGCCATTACCCCACAGCGGACCTTATCCATTCAGCCTGGACCACTGCAGTGGCCTCCTAACTCTTTCTGCTCTCCGA